GTTACATTACTATTATAGCAGCTTCAATCATTGTTTAATAAGATAGACAGACAGACTTGGCAGCAATGTAACATGAATATATTGAATGCCTTATGGGGATATTAGAATTGAAAATACACGTTTTATGGACTACTAAGACATATGAGAGATGTAAGCACCTCTGACAAGTGCTTATAGAAAACTCTTAATGAATTCATGATTGAATCAAATTCATTGTAAGCAGGCTAATGGTTTTTCAATGGTACTTCCTCATCTGTGAGACCTTTTGAACTGTAGACCCTTTTAATCCATATTAAATTTCTTCAAATTTATGTCATCATTATGAATAATTTGAGTTGTAATGTGTCTTAAGAGTGATCTTTTTTAAAAAATAAAATATATCAATTGCTATTTCTACTATGTATTTCAGATTTCTGCTATGTATTTCAGATTTAGAGGAATATTCCTCCAGATCTTAAATATATAGTAATATAAAGGTAATTTTTTACAACCTAAAATAATGTTAAAAATTAAATCCTATTATTTTGTTTTTTTTTCATGTTATTTCTCTTTATTCTATGAATTAAGTGCATTTTGCCCAGCAAATAAGAACTGAGCATAGGGGTGGTACATACCTCATCCCAACATTAATATGCACATTTGGTTAATGCTGTTTGATGGCTTAATTAAGATTTCAGATTCTCTTTAAAATGTAAGAATAAATGATGGCATAGTTCATAATAAAAGACAACATAAAGGATCTACTAAAGATGGAAAAATGTGTCCTGGCCCCTTTTTACTTACCACATGTTTTATGTTATTAAGGCAATGAGTGCCTAGGATATGGGTGACACAATAAGACAATTTCAGGGCAGGATTTTTTAAATAATAGACACAAACTTTGTCCCTTTGTATAAAGACATTAGAAATTGGAATATGGTGTTTAAGATATTACACAATTATGTGTGTTGCCAGTTCCTCCAATCTTTTTTGTGGAGGAAAGATTGCAGGATAGATTTCTAGATCAGAAACAAATGTCTCTTGTGTTTACTCAGTTCCTACTCTGGGCAGCCCAGAATACTGAGGGATTTTTTAAATTTGTAATTAAAAAAACAATCTTATAATTAAATCAGTACAAAGAAGTAACGTTTAAACAATCAAACAAAGCAACAGGCAGAGATTGCTAATCTGTCCTCTTTGCAGATAATTTCAAAGTTTGGGACAGCCACACATAGTCACCCAACAACTATGCCTCTAACTGTGAGAGGATTTTGAAAAGGCATTTTCCAGAGAATTGAAACTCCAGGAAAACCTTTTAAGGAGAGCATAGTCTTTGAAATAGCCTGGTCCTAAGTGATGTCAATGTTTATACATCATAACTAGTACTTTGAATTGTTCCTGGAAATAGATCAGAGTCATCTCTTCTCTACACCACCTGGCCCTAATCAATAGTCTGGCTACAGAATTCTGTAGTTTCCAAATTTCAAAGGCAGAATATTTTACTGAAGTCCAAATAAAGTGTAATTAAGGCTCAGATCACTGTATTTAATTCTGAGGTCTCCAGGAACACACATACGTAACAAATCTAGGAGTACATTGAATCTTCAGATCTGAGACTTCAAAGAAAGTTTGATTTCACCCCAGATTTCATTCCCTGAGCTGATTTTTAGACTGACCAGGGAGATTTGTCTAAATTGCACTTTTGTTTAATTGCCTTTATCCAGTTCATGGCCAACAACATAATACATTGATTTAGAGTTTAAATAGTTTGTTTAGGCTTCAGTAGAAAGATATATTTTCTGCATCATAATAACACCAACTCCAAAATCCTGGGCCAATGGTTGCCAGATATTTATGTTAGATTCCACCAAATACTCTATTAAAAAAAATTTGTCCTACCATGAGAAAAACAAATAGGCATGTTTTCCAAGAGGGCATGTTTATGTTTACAAATAATGTTATTATTACGTTCAAAAAGTGTGGTTATACATAGTACCGCTTCCACCTTGTATACATATATAGAAATGAAATCCCAACAAGCTCTATTGAGTTTATTTCTGATCAGATTTGAACCTGAATGGTGGCTTTTATTGTATTTGCTAAGAAAATAACTTGACATACTTTTGCTTTAATAGCCTGAAAATGGTAGAAAAAGCCTAAAGCTGGAATAGAATGAAGTCTTACTGGTGCTAAATGATTGCCAATAAATGCCAGTAAACTTGTGAGTTTGGAAAATGAAGATAACTCTAGGTGCATTAAGGTGCTGCCTATTGTATTTCCTTCCTCTTCCTCTTTTTCCTCCATCTGATACTGATAGATTGAGCAGGAGTTGGGATAACTGGTTTACTGAAGTTACCTACCATCTCTGGCTTTGTGGAAAAACTTAAGGAGGCAACTTATGGATTGGCTATATGTGCAAAGGGAGTAAGATGGATTTAATAAGGAGCTGGTGTAGCAGAACCTCGGGGCCCAAAAGGCTGGAAGGGGACCGGATACACTGAAAGCTCTGTGCTACATGCACTGACTGGGGAAGCGCTATAAGCTGATTTTGAATTACCCCTTAAATGTCATTGGTCTTAGATCAGAGTTCCCCAACTTTTCTGCCTTTGGGGGGGGGGAGGAGAAGGGATGGTTCCGTGTGAGTGACGGGCAGGTGCTCAAGCGCAGCTCCATTTACATGAGCGGCGAGCAAGCAAGAATTCTGCTCACGCAAATAAAGTGCATACAAACTTCTCACTGCTCATGCAAGTGGGGATGCACACATGTGCACTTGTCTGCCACTTTCACAGCCGGGTTCTGAATGGTTCAAGGGCTAGTAGTGGGCCTTGGCCCGGGGGTTGGGAACCCCTGTCTTAGACCACTGAGAAAACAACTTGGACATGCTGTTCATGTGTGCTTGGGCCTTCGATTTTCTGTTACATTCAGTAGATAATGTTGGCTATGGATTTTTATATTGTTTTTAGAAAGGTTTGGAGACTTGTAAGAAGAAGAACACTCTTGATTTTTTAAATTTACCACAAGGAAACTTGAATTGTATTTTGCTGTATCTTGAGTATGGCAATGAGATATTCATTGTTTTGATTTTTTTAAGCAAGCTGCAATAAAATACTTTGACCAAAAACAAGACTGAAGCTACCTTTAAATTCTTTATTAAACCAAGCTATTCTAACTAAAGGGTCATTGATAATTATTACATTTCTGCTCATTTTCCTTGTTGTTTAAATCAAACCAATTTTTATAGACAAAGATCAGCATGAAGGTAGGGTACAAGGAATTTTAAAGCATAAAAAATATAAAAAGAAAATTAAATAAAAAGTTACAAAAAATAAAAACAAAAAAGCTGTTATAAATACCCATTTTTTTAAAACTGGATTCTGATATATTATCCAATGCATCTTTCTGTGCAGCGTAATTATAGTGAATATCTAAGCCATATATTCCATTTATAACCAAAACATGAAAGATATATACTCATCAGGACTTTCAAATTAATTGTGAACAATGTAGAAACAAATTCATTCTTTGCTATAGTCGGTAATTATTACCATTTGTGTTCCATTTGTCTTCATTTAAATATTCCAATTTTGCCCACATTCCCCAAATTTTAGTAGTGCTCAACATTTCTTGTCATATAAGAACCCCTGCTCCAATAGCTTTGACCACACCTTATTTCAGAATCATTATTGATTTTTTAATCTTTTTTTTTTCTATCTCTCTTTTTTAGATTTCTTAGCAATAACACACTGGGCAAGTGCTGTGGATCAGTTATAATAAACTTCTCTTTGTGACATGTTTTCTTCTATACATATTAAAAATAAAATAAAATCTATAACTTTGGACTAATTATTTTAAAAATAACTAATAGCTCTTATCATTGACACTTAATTAATGGCTGTTACAAGCATGCCATGTCTCTGAAAAAGATTTTTTCTTCTTACATTCAGGTATGCACAGGGACAGACACTTGCACGCACACATACACACATATATGGGGAAAGATTCACATTTATAAATATTCCATTTAGATGCTTTAAGTGAATTTTGTTGAACATTGCAAGAAACATTGCAAGGGTGTATGAAAAGTCCGGCCCCATAGGTCAATTCACAATTAGAGAAATAGATCATAATGACAGCCAATATTTACTTTCTTGTATGGCCTCAGGAGAGTCCTGCAAAAGAGTAAATTGATGGAAATAATTCCCGGACTACTGTGGTATCATACAGATTGAATTCATATAATTTTCTAGTTTCTTCTGAGTTGAAATTCCTGTCCATAGTAAGGTCTATCATCTTGTATCATCTATTATAAGTTTGTAGTGTATAATTTCCTGATGTTGACAGAGTGATACCTGAAAAATATATTTTGGTGTTCTCTCTTTCTTACTCTCTATTTACTATTTTTATGTTTTAACACTGTTATTTGCTGATCTGTGACTGTAATAAAAATTGATTGATTGAAATAATATTTTATAGAAAAATGTTACTGTATTTAGGAATGTTCAAAGGTCATGCATCAAAAAGTAAGGAAATGTTTAGAAGAATGTGACAACCAATTTGAACATTAAATATAATTTATATAATAATTTTTCTCTGACTTTTGTTATAATCTGGACGTCACAGTTGGGTATCTGGTTGAGAAACCCTGGGTTCTCAGAAATTGGCCCCTTTGGGGATTTACTATGATCTTTTTATTTTTATGTGTTGAAGAATGCAGAATAGATTTTACAGTATAATATGCTTATAGGAGTAGCAATCATGAAAATTCTGCTAAATTTTGTTATTTCCAGCTCTTCCAGTATTTTGAAGTAGCCACTAACCACAATGACCTATGCCTTTCCAGGTTAGAGTAAAATAATAGAGTGTTAGAGTAAAAATAATAGGGTGTTTTAAAGAGGTATGTATTTTTAGAATATATAGAATTTTATGAAAACTTTAATACTTCATTTTTTAAATAATGCATTTAACACATTGTTGTCTGATACTTTAAAAGGTTTAAAAGATGGGGCTGTGTTATTTTGCAGGATGGGCGGTTACGAATAAATGACCAGCTTATTGCAGTAAATAGTGACTCTCTGCTTGGAAAATCAAACCATGAAGCCATGGAGACTTTGAGGCGTTCTATGTCTATGGAAGGAAATATTCGTGGCATGATACAACTGGTAGTTCTCAGAAGGCCAGAAAGGCAAATTGAAGTGGTAGGTGAAGCATTTTTATCCACTTATCTTTGTAGCTATTATATGAAACATTGAACTGGAATTGCTGTAATTAACATTGACATCTACCAACCTTGATTGTTGATACATAATGCTAAATCATTATGTTTTTGAGAGCTTCTAAATAGCTCTGAGACATGAGTAAAGAAACCATAATATTTTTTTATTTAATGTTGATTTGTTCCTTCTTCCTTTGTGAAGATTTGTAGGTTGTCCAAGATGGGCGTATACTCATGTATTGCCATTTTTTTACTATTATCAAGAAATGCAGCAAAAAATTCAAGTATTACCTTTTTCAGCAAACTTTGCTTAATTCACCTTTAGTCAGAAACCTACAACTGAACACTTTCTGCCATTTTTAATCACTCCCAATAAAGACTTGGTGTCATTGTTTCTTTTACTATTGCCTTCCAAAATACCTGAACAAAATTATCAGCTGACATAAAGATTTGCCTGAAATTTCATAGAAATATAGAATTTAATTGTCCAACATTTATTTGGTTAATGCTGAAGGGCTTTGTGTAAATTCTCTTAACCAACACAGCACTAGACCTATGAATCGTTCTCCCCCTCTTTTTACCACTCGCCCAGAAAACCCAGATGGCCTTGTTCATTCTAACTTGGGAGAGGACATCTGACTGCTACCTAATCGTAAAGTATTTTTTTTAAACAAGTTTTATTGATTTTTCAATTTTACATCAAGTGTTTAGGAAGCAGCGTAGTGATTGAGTAATCAATAGTCCAATAACAAAATCTTTCATACATATCTTAAGTTGCATCATTAAAAGTTCCCTATTTCCCTTAATTAGTATATCATATTCAAGTTAATACAATTCTAGTTATAGCTCAGTCAGTCAATACATTTGTCAATATAATTTTGTATACATATCCAAGTCCTGTTTTTAAGTTTTACCTAATTCCAATTACCGTGTTCCAATTTAACCTTTGGTAACCGTAATATTTAAACTTAGGGTAACCCAAATTTCCCTAATTTCATTACAAAATAATTGTCGTGTCTAAAATACATTCTGCTTTATTTCACAAGTATATTCTATTTCTCGTCTTAATACCTCATCATTTATTAGTAAAATATCTTTCATTGTCACAAATCCACTTCCATATTACAATTCAAAACTATAATCTAATGGCTAATTTTCATTTCCTTTATAGATCTAAGTCCTAGATATTAAATCAATCAGTATCTCTAAAAATCTCCTTAGCCCATTAAGTAGGATTTTAAGCTGTTCCATCATCAGTCAGCAAAAAAAGGAAAAAGGAGAAAAAAGATCCCATTTTTAAATCTAACTCTAGCTTTCTTTTAGTGCCAATCAGGCTTCCATACCAGTGCCTTTAAATCCTCAGATGAGTCTCCCTTCATTCCTACACACGTTATTTGAATCAAGGGAGAACATCCAGTTATCAATTTTTCAAAGGAACTGGCCCCTTTATAATCATTAGATTGTTGCCCAATAGTTCAAATCTCGATGTTTGGTTTAAAGTATTTGTCTTCCACTCAGTCTGGTCTTTTTCTTCTTCCAGTTTCGTCTGGCTAGAATAAAAGGTCATATCCAGTATTATAGTTGTTATTTGATTGACTAGATTGTCTAAGTTCTCAGTATATTGTGTTTGCTGATCTATGGCATCCTCCATCTTAATGTTGCTTTCTTCAGTTTCTGTTGCTTTTGGAATTGCAGGTACTTTGATTAAGGTCAGAGTTCGATTGTCAAAGTTCTCAGTAAATTGTGTTTGTTGTTGTGTAGAATCCTTTTTGGTGTTAGTTTGTTCCTCTTCTGTAGTTTGTTGGCTTGTAAGTTGATCAATTGGAATCTGGGCTTCAATTTGTAATTTGTAATCCTCTTTGATGTTAATTTGTTCCTCTTCTGTTGTTTTTTGGTTTATAAGTTGATCAGTTGGAATCTGGTCTTCAAGTTGTAATTTTAAGGTGACGTCTTTGTTTTTCACTCTGTAGTTCATTAGCTTAGTGGCTTCAAGAATTTTTTCAAGTATAAGTTTATAGTTAAGTTGTGGTAGGATTTCTCCATTTCTATGGTGATCAGAGATAGTCTTTTAGTGGAGGCTATGTTTAGGAAAGTCCATCTCCACTATGTTTAGGAATGTCCATCTCCACTATTCCTAGAAGTTGTTTTCACCACCCAGCTGTTTCAGGTTCTTATCTTTTTTAGATAATGTGAAGGGTAAATCTAGGGAGTAGGCAAGCCTCACAGTCAAAGAAATTCAGTTGCTATACCAGGCTATATCACAAGATGTTCCCGATAGGCTATAGAATCTTTTTTCTAGACTCCAGTTAAGCTTTTATCCAACTGAAAATTTTTTTTCCAACTTAACAAATAGGTAATATGATAGGTCCCTATAATAGGAACTTTTTGGGACCCCAAACTATCCAAAAGATGAAAGTCCAATTATTTAGTTGTTTAGATTAGTTATTTTTTTCTTTTCTTTTCAAAGCTTAATTTCCCAGAGTAGGCAGACACCGCTGTATTAAGAGTGGGGAAGAAATTTCAGGAGGCTTTCACAGGAAGGTAGTTGGGGTAAAGGAAAGGTAAGGAAAGGTCTCACCCAAATCCTCCGCGGTGCTTTTGTTGTGCTTGGTGGTAATTTTGGCTTTCGGCTGGCACGGCTTAGTGATCGGCCATGTTGATGGCCAATCTTTTCTCCGACAGTCCAAAGGAGCTGCCTCGGATCAAATGGAAGGGCTGCCACCCTTCCTCAATCTTTTGTGGGTCCCCTCATGGTCGTCGCCCCTCCAAGATGACTTATGACCCTTTTCAGGGTTGCCCAACGAAGGGAAACCGGGCGGTGGAGAGAGCGCTCTCTCTGCGCGTCCGCCAGCACCGCGATCCGGAACCATAAGCCACCTAATTGTAAAATATTTTGAATGAGCTAATAAACATAACAACTCAAACACAATTGAAATTTTCACTCTGCTTTTGGAAGTCTAGCCCCTGTTCCCTGATCAATCCTCACCTTGCGATGGATTCAGTATAGAAATGAGTATAGCAAAACTACTGGCTCAAGTGCTAAATCGGGTGTCAAACTGCCGGCCCATGGGCCGGACGCGTCACCAGGAAATCACGCCCACCTCATTGCCGGCAATGGGGAAAAAGTTCCGATATGTCATGCGACATCGCGAGTTTGACATGTCTATTCTAAAAAGGTTCTATCCAAACCAGACCAGATGGTACCAACATCTGGATCTCTAAAGTCCTACATTCCATTTTGCTTTTCCTAGTACAGAAAAAGGCAGGGAATAATTATTAGTTGCTACAGAAGGAAAGGGGGAGCAGTCATTCTCAGCCACTGAATATGAGGGTAGGGTTTATGGAAAGAAGATGGTGTTGCAATGGACATACTGAGAATAATATAATTGCCAGAGGTGCTTTGTGATCCAGCCTTTGTTATCTTTTCCCTGGCCTTTGTGTTAAAATATAAATGATAGGTGCAATACAGTTTGTCTTAATTCTTATTTTCTATAATGCATTAACAGGAATTATCTGATTATTTTTCATGCTGTCCATGAAAAACCAAACATTGTTCCCAAATTTCAAAGAAAAATATGTATATTTTGGCAAACGATGCTAATGGTTGAGCTATGATCTCCAATTCATATTTTTGCAACTTACTTAATCTTAACTGTATCAATGTGCATATATGTATTATGGTTTCTCTTATGAAAACAGAGGTATAAAATACAATATACTTTTTCCACATGCCTTGTGAAAAATGCCTAATGAGCATCGTATTGAATCTAACTTATTTTAAACACTATTTTTTTATATAAAATATGCTTGCAGTTCAACTGTAATTCCATTTGGAGCTAAAAAGTATGGCAAAAAGAGCCACGACCCGTTCTTTCTTTTGCCTGTTTAAAAATCCATTATTGTTTTACTGGCTGGGACACTAATGGTATCTTTTCATGACTATTCTGTTTCACTAACTGAGGACCCTAATTAGGCAGTGTACTGATCAGTTGTTGAGCTATTGATTTGGTTGTTTATCAAAGACCTAGAAAAGCAGGTTTTCATTCCATTGCTGTTAATTTAAAACTACCTCCGCATGAGCTACCTGCTTGCACAGTAGCTTCAAGCTTACTGTGTAATGTATTTTAACCCCAGAAAGGAATTATAAATTGTAGCGAAAGGACATATAGTAAGCTTACAGATGAGTTGAGAAGAGATGCTTTACTGAGTAAAAATGCCTTATTACTTATTAATAGAAACTTTAATATTCTAGTTAAATAGCTTCTATGTGAGTGATTTCCTATAATAGGACTTTTAGTAAAGTGCTGAGGAATATCCCCACTCTTGCTAGTCTAAAACAGGAGCATTACAATGCTGGGTCAAGCTCTCACAAGGTTTGGTTAAAGAGGGAAAATGAAAAAAATAAGAATTTAGTTGAAAATTAGTTTGACAACCTGTTTCCACTGCAAGACTATATTTTTATTGCCACATATTATCTTAATATGCCTTATATGCACATATAATTATACAGATGTTTTTAAGTCTCTGATTACTGAAACTCTCAAAAATATGTCAAATAAATAAATACTGCATGATCCCCTTATCTAACTGATGTATAACACCTCCCTTCCTTGTGTTATTTTTCCTAACCCATTTCTCTCATAGTTTGACAAAGAAGGAGGGGAAAACAAAATCTGCAACCTGGAGAGTATAAGAGAAGGAAAAGCAAATAGTTCAATACATTACTTAAGATTAAGAAGAAAAAAGACTTTGAGAGGAAAATACAAGAGATAAAAATGAGTTATTCATAATGCTTTGGAATGAGATATGAAAATACTAGTATATTTAAAGAAAGATAACTTTATTTACAACAAACTATGGGAGAAATGGGTTAGGAAAAATAACACAAGGAAGGGAGATTTTAAGAGGAAAACTGGTGGAACATGAACAGAGTGTTTGTACACCAGTTAGATAAAGGGATCATGCAGTCAGTCAGTCAGTCAG